GAGCAAGATAGCTGACATCAGTATTCAGTTTCAATCTTTATCATTCAAACAAAGGAAAGCATGGTGTTTAAAGGAGAGTCTACATGGATTTTCCTGTGCGGCATAGTGAACCGCTTGTTGATCATTGTCAATTTGCTTTGATAATGTTGTCAGCAAATTCTTCGTGAAGTGTAAATGGATATAATTACATGTAGCACATTATTTGTTGTACTGAATTTAATGATGATGATTTGTTATACCGAATTCATTCTTCAGTATTGAAAAATTCTTTCTATTAAGTAGTCAAAGGTTAAAAAGTATAACAGACCATCCAAGGTCCACAGAATTGTTTTTCCAGACACCACATGAAAACCAAAAAACTTTTCAAATAAGATGCTCCCAAAGCCTTATGCAAGAACTTAAAATTACCGTTAAGCATTGCTGGCCTGCCTGAATTTACTGTTAAGCATTGTCAGCCCTCCTTAATTTACTGTTATTGCCAGGATCTCCCCATGCAGACCCTCCAAAATGTCCTATGAGGTTTCCACCACCTACCTGGTGTAGTTGACCTTGTACTGTGACACATCGTCTGTCTGAGCCCTCTGCTTACGAGCCGTGGGAGTCTCCAACTTCCAGTGATTCAAGCAGTGCAGGAACATTTTGGCCAGGTCGTACATGGTTTGCCATTCTTTCTGAGGAAGGTGGCCAAACTTGTACAGTACAAAGTTGATGACACCCTGTAGGAAATGTAGTGACAGGCTGAATAAATGTGACTAGATGTTGGTTAGCATGGGGAATGAATCCACTCTGCTGCATATTCTATCACATGCCCGTAGCCAGGGGGGGTTCAGGGGGTTCGGAAGAACTCCCCCACAAGGCTAAAAGGTCCACTTTTTGGTCCACTTTTTATGTAAAGGTCCACTTTTTGGTCCACTTTTTATGTAAAGGTCCAAGATTTTTCTTCAAAAGATGAACTGGAATCGTAGAAAAACTGCTCCCTTTGTCATTGAATAAAAATTTATCTCTAATTTTTTCTTTGAAATCCTCTCAAAAACGCACGAAATGCCATTTTAGAAGGTTCATTTTTCAAAATTTCCTGGGGGAGCATGCCCCCGGACCCCCCTAGGAACCTCGCGCCTTCGGCGCTCGCCTCGCGCCTACAGCGCTCAAGGTCCCCTCAAGCAGTGGGAAGAACCCCCCCCATTCAAAATCCTGGCTACGGGCATGTATCATGTTATTGTAATTAATACAGCAAGCATAATAAGTAGCTGTTGAAACTGACAACAACCAGTAAAATGAGGCTCACCTTTGCAATGCTTGGCTTTTCAAATGGTGGGTTACCTAATGGTCCCTCTACTGTGGGTTTACTCATCTGTAGGATACACTTACGTAAGAGCTGCAACATAAACAGTACATTTTAAGAGCAGTCCGTATTTGTATATCTGTTTTAAGTTTCCTGTTATTTGTCTGGTACTTACTCACAAGTTAGCTCAGTGAAAATATTGAAAAAATCCAGTGTGTTCATCTATCGTTTAACCATAACCCCCTCTCAGACACTTGACATTTGAGACCAGATTTGTCATATTGTAGCAGCATTACGTAGCTGCAGTTTGAATCAGAACCCGTCATTGTCGCCCTGCACTGAAACGTTGAATGTGAAAACCTACGGGGTTTAAAGAACGTCTTATCCAGTCTCTTGCCAACCTGATGAAATACTAGTAATTCACAGAAGAAAAGGACATTTTGCTTACCTTGAAGAGATAGAAGTACACCTGCTTGGTGTCAGCATCCTCTTCCTTATGGACACACATGAAGAGGTTTTCCACATCAACAACAATACCCAGTAGTCTGTTCATCTCCTCTTCATTGGTGTTCTCTAGGTGGGACACATGTGCACCTACCAGAAAGACATGGCTATTAGCTCAATCACTGATGTCGAACTGTAGTATGGGACCCAATGGAACTGACAATGTGAGAGTTCGGATGTACAAAGTAGCATGTAGCACCTACAGTTAGAGTTCATGCTAACATTTGAGTTGAATTGCGAAGCTCCAACAATTTGTTACACTGATAAACCATGACAATAACGTAGGCACCTGCCAAGAACACATGGCTACTGATTACACCTGTGACACCCGTGCACCTGTGACACAGGTGCACCTGTGACACATGTGCAGCTGTCAGGATCCACCCATAAAGTGCTGCAATTGCATGGGGATGGTTGGTGGCAAAACACAGAGCTGATTCATGAGTCATGACCCTAACAACTTCACTGGTACTCACCTAACTTGTGTCGGCAACTCTTGCACGGATCATCCAAGCTTGCAAGTGGTTGAGACAGGTCCACTCGTGATGGGTTAGGGGGTGGGTTGGGATTCTTCCAACCATTACACTTACACGATTCATCTGCCTGGAATAGCAAAATATAACGTCCATAATGTCACACATAAAAATCTAAACCTTGATTAAAGCTCCTTGTAGTAAAACCCTAATTTGCTTAATGAAAACAATGACTAACTTAGTCTCATGCCATCATCTATATGTTATATCCAAGCAAAGAATCATGAAATAAATTTGTCTTTGAAGTGTTGTAGTTCAAGTTCCACAGGAGGCTGCTAGGGGGCAAACTTTAAAATAATATGGAGTTTCCAAAGATACTGGTTACTAGTATGTACGTGAAAGCAGAACTGTGACTGTGTACTGAGATTCAAGAATTACATTTATTTTTGTTCATAATCTACACATCATGTTATACCAATAGCAGCTGTTACTGATCTTCAAGAATTGTTTTTGTACTCCCCCCCCCCCTAATGTTATGGAATAGCCTTGCTTGCAACAAGACAACAAAGACCATCTACCTTGCAGGCAGAGTACACGCCGAGTTTCTCCAACTTCTTGGTTCGATTATAGCCCCGTATCTGAGACTTCCTCTGTGCAATTCTTTGCAGATTTATCGGACGGCTCAGTTCACTCGGTGGGACTGAGGAGGCCGATCCTCTTCTTGTTCCGGAGCTGGATTCTGCAGAAGCCATCTCTCTCAAAAAATCATGTGCCTCAGTGGATAGCGATAGAAAACATCTTGTCTGTACAACGAAGTGTGCAGAGTTGACCTAGATGACAACCATTGCCTACACATTAATTACGACATCGCACGCAAGCTGGCCTGGCCAAGAAATAAAGTTATAAGTGAGATTTATCAATCATGCCTTGATGGAGACCGCATAGTACGATTTCCGGAGACTCTGCATCATCATCATCATCATCGACTCTCCTAGTTAGCATTCACGTGATCAAATTGGCGAGATCTCGCGAGAACTGGGCGGAAAACGTCATCTAATTTATTCTAATTACTTAATCTGATGTCATCAGTACAGAAGTCAGGTGACGAGAATCCTTGTTTGTGATTGGCTGATGGGCTGAAAGCTGTTCTATTTTTAGTTGTTTTTCTCACTGGATCTGCAGGTTGTCAACGCTGCAGTCGAGAGAAGGAAGGAGAAGAGGAGAAAGCGCCCTGTTGAGTAGGAGCGAAGGAACGGCGAGTTTTTAGAATTTTAGGGTCCATCTGGTAGCTCTTGCCAGTTTTATAGCGAGGATACAAGCTTACACAAAAGTATTTTGTGTGGAGCTAGATTGAAGTCGGCTTACGATCGTAAAGAGGTGAAGGAGAAATCAGGAACCGTTGCGTCTCGCAAACAAAGGTTTCCGCCATATTTAGTTTGCCGTGGTAGGACTCGATGTGTCTACACGGAACCTCGCTTGTTGCCGGCAGCATGACAGCAGATAATGCATATCACAGCCCAAGGGGCGTCGCGAAACATCGCAATCGGGAGAAGAACAACAGAACACCGCGGAAATCCAGCGGCAGTGGCAGGCGAAGTGGCCCAGAACAAGATCGAGCTAGCCCTCGCCATATTTGTCACAACAACAACCAAGGCGTAGAGCGGGCCAACAACAACAGATCGCCCAGCGTTCAAAAGTGAGTTTTTCATCATTTTGAAAACATCTTTTTGGTCATCGATTTCACCAGAAGGTTCTTTAACCAACGATTGAGAATAATTGCCAGGCGAAATTTGGAATTTTTCTAAATCTAAATACAGAAACATGAGTAATAGAAAGGGGAAGTCCAGGCATAGACAAAGAGGAAGTCCAGGCATTGTGATTTTCTAAGCAGATTTGGGCACGCCTAGGGTTGCTTTTTGCCCACCCGATCTTTCAGTAACCGCAGTAAATCCATGGCCACTCGTATGTTGTTACCTAGATATGCTCTAGTTTTAGTCCACAGTAGCTTATTTGAAACATTTTTAAAGTTTGGTCTCCTGTCTGGGTCTGAAATATGATACTCTTGTTTTGATCAAGAGGCCCGAGTTGCTTTCTTTGTTGTTGTCGGGGATGAACGAAAATGAACCGAAGTTAATGAAGTGAAACAAAGGCTGGAAAAATCGGCCTCTCCACCTTTTTGTTTGAAATGCATGAATATTTGAATATGCAAGTTTTCTCGTGGATGTGTGAAATAATTTGTGTGAGTGAATCTTGATTTTTTAACACTCAAAGCAAATACCCTACATACAAAGAAAACAAGTAATCTATAACTTACTTTGATTGCGATTTGACTAAAAATACAGGTTCACTGCCCGACATGAGTGTTTGCTTTGTCTTGTTTTTGTTGCTTTGTCTGGTAATTAGGTAAAGCTCAAGTGTCTGTTTATGTTGTGCTTTGTATGATAATGGCAACTAATAGCAAGTACTTCAACTTTTCTTTAGGCCACATTTGACCAAGCCAGAAAAGCAGCTCATCCAAGGCAGCCGTTCAGCTAGCCCAAGCGATGACGAAGCTTACGCAGGAGCCAAGTTCAGTGAGCCTCCCAAGCCAGCAGATCTTCCCCGACCCCCAGTCAGTTGGGTGTCACTCAAGAGCCCCCTGCTGCCCAAGGCACCAGATTGCTCCCAAATGACCAATGATCTCAAAACCATGTTGAAAGTCTTCGGATGAAAACTGCAGAGAAGAGAGTGTGGACTTTCACAAGCTGCAGTTCGCACATTTCCATAGGACCTCTAAGTGTTAAGATTTATATCTGTCAAAAGGACATACAAGTGCGACTTGTGTGTTCTTCCTTGTTTTTGAAGTTGCAGTTCTGGCTCTTTAAGGAGCAATTGTTGCAATATTTCGGGAGTTTTCTCTCCCTAGTGTGATAGTGAAAATGTTGATAATGGCTGAATGGGAAGGTAGAATCGTACATGTTTTTGTCATATTGAAATTTATAAAGTATCCGAGTTATAAGGATAATTATGTGTATTGTGAACATTTTCGCTTGTTTTGATACATTCAAATATTTGGCCTTAGACATTGTGCACTCCTATTTTAGAGGAGAAAGAAGAGTTTCTACCTTCCTTGTTGCTACAAAGTTAGGATGTTATATTGAAGAGTTACCCCCTCATCCCTAATCTTCCCCAAACCCCCCCCAACATCTATTAAGTTTCAAGATTACATGATGATATGACTTCCCTTGGCAACAGAGAGTTCAAACATAGAAAGGAGTTGATCTCCTTCTCTTGGTCACCATATTTTTATATGCCTTGTACATATGCTGTGGTACGAAGTGCCAAGAAATCACCAAATTTCTCAAGTGCTTTTGATATGAAGTGGTGCTACTTTTGGCCCTTCCTAGAGAAAAGTTGAATTGGCAGCTCAGCTGAAGGATTTAAGCGAGCACAGATGGTTTCTTGGTACGACAGAACTTCATCTTAGAGTGTCATTGGATTTATGGATGTAATTCCACATTATTTTTGTGATGATAGAGATGAATACATTTTGGATAATGTTGCAATGAATTTTGGACCAATCAAATTTTTGTATTTTCTCTAAGATGAAGTTTGACTTTTATCCAGTACAATGTAAATAATTGTATATAATTGATAGGAGATTTCATTGTTATCACTTGTAGGGACAGGCCCCATTTAAGTAATCTAACCTTGATCATCACATTTGTACAGCATAAGGAAACTGTTCCTACTGTTGTCTTATGGTACAAACGGTGTCTTAAATTCTAATGATAACTACCCGAAGTGCGGTCTCATTACCCACACAGGGTACCTATTGACCGGCTACAGGTGAGAAATACAGGTGAGAAATAATTACATGACAACAATCAGTTAGTATAGCTATTGGTTAAAATTCTAGGTCTTATGCCCCTGTAGAATACGCTTTTAGTAGTATTTTAGAATGCCTTTGAATTGATCATAGATTTTATAGAAAGCTCTATAGTGTAGAGGCAGTGACTAAATGTTTGTGGAGCATCAAGATGAGGTGCAGAACATATCCTTCTATCTGAACTGACATTCGTGTCTGCTGCAAGCGGAGTTTGGAGACTCAAAGACATCGGTAGACATGTTGCCAAGGAAAGCCAACACAGCTGAACTTTTGGACCCTGACTACTGCCAAGGCTATGTGAATACTCTAGGAATCCTGGTGATATCTTGGACTATCCCCAAAGACTTGGAGCTACAGAAGTGATCCCTACCCCTACCTTCCCCTACCCTACCCCCGGCCCTTTTTAGGGCCACCCCACATGTTCCAGAAAGAACATGTCGTATCACAGCCCTGTCTGGGGGTTACAACCAGACAAGTGTGTATGAAGTGTGTGTGAGATAGAATGTTGGTGTGTATTAAGTGTGGTGTATATCACAGTATATGGTAGAATGAAGTGTGGTGTGCAAGATAGAATGTTGGTATGTTTGAAGTATAGTGTGCAAAGTAGGAGTGTGTGAAGTGTGCTGTGTAAGGTAGAATATTGGTGTGTATGAAGTGTAATGTGTAAAAGGATGTTGGTATGTACAAAGTGTGATGTGTAAGGTAGAAGGAGTGTATGAAATGTGGTGTGAAAGATGGAATGTTGGTATGTTTGAAGTGTGGTGTGTAAGGTAGAATGTTGGTGTGTATGAAGTATGGTGTGTAAGTTGGAATGTTGGTGTGTATTAAGTATGTATAACTATAAGATGTAATGTGTATGACGTGTGGTGTAAGAAGTGTATGTAAGGTAAAATGTTGGTGTGTATGTGAAGTGTAATGTGTAAATGGATGTTGGTATGTACAAAGTGATGTGTAAGGTAGAAGGAGTGTATGAAGTGTGGTGTGTAAGGTAGGAGTGTATGAAGTGTGGTGTGTAAGGTAGAATGTTGATGTGCATGAAGTGAAATGTGTAAAAGGATTGTTGGTATGTACAAAGTGTGATGTGTTAAAGGTAGAAAGAGTGTATGAAGTGTGGTGTATAAGATGGAATGTTGGTGTATATGAAGTATGTATAAGATGGAATGTTACAATGTATGTATGAAGTGTATGTAAGGTAAAATGTTGGTGTGTATGAAGTGATTTAGTGTGGTGTAAGATATGTATAAAACAATGTAATATGTTGGTGTGAATGAAATGTGTGTAAAATAGATTGTATACAGAGTGTGGTGTATAAGATAGAATGCTGGTTTGTATGAAGTGGCGTGTGCTGGTGTATGTATGAATTCTAGCACAAGCACTCACGCCCAGTCACACATACCTTCAACACACATTGAAGAATAACAACAATAATAATAATAAGTAACTAAGATTTAATCAAAAGATCATGAACAAAACATAAAATAACTTGCATATCTACTACACCATAGCGCTTTCCAGCAGTAGCAAGTATTTTGAGAAAAAGCAATTGGGTCACCTGCTAGAACATGCCTAGCTAAATTTCATTCCAAATGAAATGGGATATGCAATACGTTTTTCGATACCTTTGTCTTGAAATCATCATCTTCACACATAAGGTCCTCTATGGAAACAAGTGATTGCTGAAAAATCTATAGGATGGGGAATTGCAGCTACAGTAAATATTGGATAGTAAATGGTATTTTAACACAACTAGCTACTGCTAGCCACAAAGAACTGAAATATCAAGTAAAAATTAGTGCTCTGGTTTAGGCCACACCAATTTAATTTGTTGGTTCTCGGATTTTGTCAGAAAAAACATGAAGCGACAGGGCGAAAAAAAATAAAAATAAAAACAGGTTTAGGCATTCTATTATAGCCCCAAATGCTATGATAGGAGCCATGAAGTCAACACAAAAGGTTGTGTTAATATTTTAACGATGAATTTTGAACTTTTAATCAAACCACTGCATTGATAGATGGAAACACTGCAACAGCTAGGAAGAAAAGGACTTTCCACAACTGTTGGGGGCAGAATATGAGCATTTTTTAGTTGATTCAGAACCAGAATCTTTTTTTTTTTTTGTCAAATCAGAAAAAATGAAGAGGCGAATCCGAGAACCAACAAATTAAATTGGTGTGGCCTTAGGTGTATTCACTTCTTTCAAAGTGAGAAGATATTTCTTACTGACAGTGACAATTATTCTCTTTACAGCACACCTACAAAGGAAAGGTATAGGTACATGATTAATACTGTTGGATACTACTGATACTTGCTCAAGCAGATGGATACATGATAAAACGGTAAGTGTAACATTACATATGAAGTTACCATTTAGAATGCCCCTCCTGTTATACCACTGAAGATACCACCTTTTAACTAGATTAGCCATTAAGCATATCTTGCAGCATGCCTCAGCTAACTACGTTTTCACTGTTTTGTCTGTAATATGAAATCACACAAAAACAAACCACAATGTACTTAATATTGAGAGTACTTATCTTTTAGAGTAATCAATTGAGAAAGGGATCATTTTCACAACTCTAAATCATGAACAACTTCTGCTAACCTGGAACATTAAATTCAATACAAAACTACAAATGCCTATAAAATATTTAGTACCATTTTATTGCTTTGCTTTCATTCTAAGTGTATGGCATCCAGCTTCTTCGCAAATTTATCCTATGTTTCAAAATATCTCTTGCACATTATATAGGCTATAGAAATTAGACATTTGCCTTGTGATAGCAATGTTCATGACATCTATAACTAGGAGGGTCTAACGTAACATAAGGACATAACAGTTAGCCAGCAGTAGAGAGTTGAGACTGTGGACAGTCCATTTTTTTTACAGGTCTTCTCCAGACTCGTTCATCATGGCAGTCTTGGTCTGGTGCGAGGCTCGCATGTCCACAGGCAGGTTGGCGTATCTCTTTGGAGTCTTGATCTTTGTTTGTTGTGGCTTCTGGGACTCCCAGGGGCCTAGAAAAACAACAAAACAAGCACAAATAACAACACAGAAGGGATAAGTGGAGATGATGATGGAATTCTTGGCTGATAGGCGAATGGAGCCTAGCTGGGAAAGATGTAGAAATGCAAGAAGTAACACTGGGGGGTACTTGGGACATAAGCCCACAGAACTTCATTCACACTTTTGGCATACATTTTAAAATTGTATTAGCCCAAGCAGTGGCAAGCACCATCCTGGTTAGTTTATGTCTACTCCCACAGTCACTGTGGGAGCAGATGTAACTAACCAGGATGGTGCCCCGGCCAAAATTGTATACATTGGGACTTCTTTTGCTATTTTCAGAGCAAAAAAGTGTACAAAATTGTTCATTATTCTACACAATCAGTGAGTTGCCTCGTGGTGTAACATAACAGTTTACTGAGAGTATCCCTGGTTAACACACTAAATGTACTCTGCAGATGCTGCAATTGTAAGAACAAACTAAGGGAACATTGGGCAGGTTTTAAGCCTCCTGTCACACATAGCCCAATATGAGCCTAAATCTGGTCAGACAGCTCCCGAACTTGGTTGGATAGTGGTTGGTTGAAGGTTCTCAATGTACGACAGGGGGTTTATTTATGTGCAGCATTTTTCTGTATCAGTCTTTCCTTGATTGCCAAGTTACAAAATAATATGCTTCAATCTAATCCTGTGGAATCTATGGAGTAAGGGGATAATTGCATGACATTCCTCCATGGGTGGAAGGTTTCAATGGTTCTGACTGAAAGATACTGTTACAGTAACTTTCAGTGTATATACAATGGACAGGAACTAAATTATGATAGGCTAGCAAAATCTATAAGTAAAACAGCCTAATCACCAAGCAGATTGCATGAGATGACCATGGAAATATTTTGTTAACTAAAAGGACTAATATACAACATATACATGTATTTGACAAAAATTCTCTGTTGCTTCAACCTTCTCTGAAAATCTTAAGTGTGATTTTAAAAGATATCCACTACACAAGTTATAAAAAGTGTGCAGATGACATCATCTATTGAATGGCATCATTTATGTGTAGAGAAAAATAAGGTGTGTTGTTGAAAAAATAAAAGTTTTTTCTTCTGAAACAGCCTTATACATGCTGAATGAATAGGGGATTTTTTTTTAAATTTGCAAGCAGCAAATTTTAATAGAGCACCGTTGAGATGCATTGGCAAATGCAGGCCATGTTGCACTGGTCAAAGTTAAGGGTGAAGGGATAAATTGATTATCTATCTCTCAATAACTAGCAGCATACAATGTAATTATCTAGGATGTTTCACTTATTGGGGTAATTTTAGGGTACTTACCAAGTCACAGTATACATTTGTAAGGAGGGATGGGAAGAGCAGCCTACGATGCCTAAATGAGAACAGCTTGGGTGAGGGGTGCGTAGATATGCCACAAGCGGAAGGCACACAGTTTGGGTGACGCCGAGCGGATGCCTCAGAAGCGGAAATGTCTAAACTTACCCATGTAAGCTGACGGCGGTCTGTCTTCATTTTTCTGCTACCGCTAGAACATGTAGAACCTCTTTCCCGACTTTTGTTCGGATTTTTTCTGATTGACAAGTGGTACTGGAAGTGACGTGGTATACATGTTTAGTCCAACAGGGTGACTTACAACACCTGTAAAACTGATGGACCTCAAAGCTATACAAGCCCTGTACAAGCCATTTGCTGAAGCATTTTCCAAGACCAGTGCCCCAAGCCCTAAACTTTCCCTGCATTCTAATAGCCAAGCATATGACCACAAAGAATGTGCATCATACAATATGTAGGTACTGTGCGATAGAGCTTGATAACAAGATGTGTGTAATGTTGAAAGCTCCAACTTTGTGTGACCATTACTAAATTTGCTTTCTTGTGTGACCTGCAATTATACAGCAGACTTGTACACTGCTGGGGTGCAAATGTAAGCCGAAGTACTAGTATGCATGCAAATGTGTGTTTGTATGATAGAGTAGAGTAGAGAGCTGAACGAATTACATGTAATTTGTATCACTACATATCTTGCTAACATTGTTCCATGTAATCCTACATCATTATACATTCTGTGTACTTAGTTTGGAACACAAAATGAGAAAGTATGAATCTACATTGCACCAGTTTTCACTTGGATAGCATCTTTCACAAATCAATTTTCCTACCATTACATATTGACAATGTATGCTGTGACTTGGTAAGAATTATGGGGCGACAGTCCAATCTTTACAAATTTGGTCTGCATTTGCTTTGGTTGTTGCTAAGGTAAGAGTGCTCAAGTATTCTTTCACCACCATCATGCCTGGCAAAAGACGTTCCAGCCTGATCTTGGATGAAATTATGTTTCAAGAAGAATCAATAGGGGGAGGGGTATGAAGTAAGAAAAATGTTACAACAGTATCTTGTAATAGTTTCAAGAACTATCCTATTTATGTAACAAGTATTGTCTGATAATTGTACTTTCTTTATCTAGTGAGGCTATGAAAACCTACGAGGAAAATTAAGGCCATGTATGGATAAAGCTGGGGCAGGTAGCCATGGCTTTAGGATGACTGCCATGCTGCATGACTGTGTAGAACTCCTACTTACTCTGCACAACTATTTTGCCTGTACACATGATGCTGCCAGCCTGGTTGTGGGCAGAACAGGTGTACCAGGTGGCGTCCGCCTTGCTAGCGTGGTCAACCTCCAGGAAGAACGTCCCCTGGCCATCTGTGCCAAGCCTAGAGGATTAAAAGAGGTCAAAACAGGTATCTATCTATTGTCGGCCTGTACAGCCGGGAGCAAGCAAGTATAAAATAGATATAATGACCACAATATGTTTCAACTTCACATACATAGGGCCCTATTACATTCATCATAATTGGCCCATTGACAGAAAGTTTTTTGTTGGATGTTTGGTCAATGTTGCATAAGAAGTTTGCCTGATGCAGACGATATATTTTATGAAAAATATAGATGGTATGCCATCTTCAGATATATGAATACAAAATGTTCTGAAGAAGTGCTACAAATTGTATGTGCAATACATTACGGGTTTTGCACAATCACAGTATGTTAAGTGTCTTTAAGCATTGATTACCTTCCTGAAGACCATAATATTCCCTATAGAAAAAAGCAAATCTGTAGTAACCTGTAGCCGCTCTTGTCTGTCAGGCCGATGCCGTCCTTCTTCCAGATGGCGTAGGGAACAGGGTCTCCGGCGGCAGTGCAGAAGATCCTGACGTGCTCGCCCTCCTTCACAGTTGTGTTCTTCAGCTTCTGCACCCATGTAGGAGCAACAGCCTGGGCCTCCACTGAGATTCAATTAACGAAAAAAAAAACATCACACTGAGGTAAAAAGATAATTGTAGTCCCAAAGCCTTTGCAGGCCATAGGATCCGTGGGTTGATGATCCTGTGTGTCCTGGGCATGGTATTGGAAGACAAAGCCAATCCTTGTCCAGTGTCCAGTCAGGAATGTAAGGAATCAAACCCATGACCGCTTGATCTGATGCCTGCTTGCCGATTTGACAGCAATACAGAGGCAATGCTCTATAAAAAACTTAATTCACATTACTACACATGGTTGATAAAATACAACTTAGGTCTCATCTCCAAAAATGTGTTGAGTTGAATTACAAAAATGCCCCAAAATATCCCCTGGAAAATGCAAATATCAGACTGAGTTCACTTTGTACGGCCTCACTTACCCAAG